GTGCCAGTCTCGATTGGGTTGAAATATCCGTTGGTACATTGTTGGTGGAGAGCCTTTATGACCAGTGTGGCCTTGGTGCTCGTATATTGGGGCCGAGCGTTTGTTTATATTCTAGCAGGGGGTCCCGCTGTAGTAATGGGTGTGTGACCAGACGTGATGGCGGCGCCTCTGGTGTCTAGCAATGAATGGTGGGAGGCAGGGGCAAGATGGAGGGATGTAGGGGGAAACGTAGGGGTGTAGGGGAGAAATGGAGGGGTATAAGGAAAGTTGGAGGGAGGCAGAGGGAAGATGGAGAGGCATAGAGGAGATGGAGGGGTATAGAGGAGATGGAGAGGTATAATGAGAGATGGAGAGGCATAGAGGAGATGGAGAGGTATAATGAGAGATGGAGAGGCATAAGAATGATGGGGAGGGTGTAGAGGGAAGATGGAGGGAATAGGGGGAGATGGAGGGATATAGGGGGAGTTGGAGGGTTTAAATGGGAAGATGAATGGGTATAGGGAGACAAAAGAGTGATGTAGGGATAAAAGGGAAGGATCGTGGGAGAGGGTAAGCTGCCGCGGCTGGTAGAGGAGGGAGGGTGGAGGTAATGTTCGTCTACAGGAGTGACGGACTGAAGGTCTTGGGGCGTGAAATTATCATAGGGAAGGAGACGCGTCAGTAGAGGCAGTAGACGGGAACCTGGTGATCGTGGTGGATGGGGACCTGGGACTTGGAGGTAGTTGATGGCAATTTTCACCCTTCTTAGCTATTGATTCCTCGTTTTCAATCATTGACTCAGCAATGTTAAGACACTATATATAAAAACACCATGTTATTAATGTTAATCATATTTTAATTATATGCAGGCGATGATGTGTGTAATTTCAAGCATATTATGTGCTTAGGGCTTTATTGTCTTTTTGTTAATTAAATGATGCAACCAGTTTTTTAGTCGTGTTACTTTATAATAAACAAAAGACGATCAACTTCCTTTACGTGTTACTTTACATTAAGGAACTGATATAACGAACTGTGATGATGATAACAGCTGACTAGACAAGTAACAGCAATAAATGATGTCAATCCCATAAGCTTTAATTTGCAGTTTGTTATAATTTGGTTAGATATTACGTCACGTGCCCCCATCCTATCCCCCGTCCTTCTGTTTCATGCTACTTCCTTTCCCTTGTTCTTCCATCCCTCCGCCCCTCTCTCCCTCCACCCCTCTCTCCCTCCGCCCCTCTCTCCCTCCGCCCCTCTCCCTCCGCCCTCTCTCCTCCCAAAATCACAGCACTTGGTAAAACTCCTAAATGGTATAGTATGCTTAGTGGTGGTGGCGCCATAGGCTTGTAGCACAGACGACGAGTGTAGACTACTGGCGTCACTAGAACTGGCCCTTACACACACACACACACACACACACACACACACACACACACACACACACACACACACACACACACACACACACACACACACACACATACATACATACATCATTACTCTCTCGTCCTGAAAAGCGAAAATAAACTACACAAAGTAAATTAAAAGGAAGAACCTCTAACTCAGTAGACTTTAATATATATTTTTATCTACATTTTCACAATAAAAATGTGAAACTGATGTGAACTTCTAATATACGTAAACAACACCACATAGGGAAATGTATTCTTAAAACATGAATACTGATTTTGAGTCATAATAGGTTTAGTTCGTTTTTGTATTTCAGGAGGACTGTTGCCACACCTTGTAAACACGTACTTTATAGTTAGTTATACAGTGCGGCATTACTGTGTGTTGATAGAGAGGAGGGAGGGGGGGGTGGAATGGAGTAAGGGAGGCTGACGCTGCAGGGGGGGGGGAGACGTCAGGAGATGTCTGGTCGGTCACGTTAATTGGAGCCCAGATAGATCTAGTTGTTGGGCGGGAAAGATGTCGCCCGCTCATGGCATTGCACTTCCGTTTTTCCTATTTTTAGTCTCCACTCTCAGAGGGTGATATGTGCCACTGAGGAAATTGAACTGAAGCTGGAAGGTTTACTTTTCCTGTGTAAATAAGGCACTGTGATGTTGTAAAATTAGCCTTGATAATTTACACTGAGATGACGATTATTTTACATTCGTTAATGGTCTGTCGAGTCTATGTCTGGTTGGTATCGTGATGCTGGGCTGAAATTGATTACGTAATTGATAATATTTATTTTTACAGGTTTATTTCAGTCTCTCTACGTAACAGTTTATTGTGCTGGAGTAATATATCTTTATAATAAACTATCTCCAGTAATATCAGCTTTCTTACTTTTGGTTTTACGTTTTTTTTTTTTTTCTGAACACGAACCTACACAGGAGGCCATTATCAGCCAACCAGAGACCAATTTATCGTAAACAAACTGTCTTAGGGTGGAAACACATTATTTTAGGTTAGGTTAGGTTTGGTTAGGTTAGGTTAGGTTTGGTTAGGTTAGGTTAGGTTTGGTTAGTTCGGTGTTACTTTATTAACAATTTGTGTGTAAGATTCCCTTGGAGGATTTCGACTGCTTGGTGTAAGGATACCTGCCTGGCAATCGTTTCTTACAGGGGATCCTTCTAACAAGACAGTGGTGTAAACTATTGTCTTATGTTTTAATAACTTGTGAATAGTATTAATTATTTTGTTTTGAGTTTATTTTCAAATAATTGTGTACGGGAGTGACACTGAGAGGTTTGTTATGGTATCTCCACTTACACAAATATACGTTCTCTATCAAGTACCGTCAACAATCGTTTTCTGTCACGATATCTTGGCTAACGAAACTAACTTTACCAACATCACCATTCTATCCCTATCAAAAGCGTAAGGTCGTACTGTAGTTAACTTTGTAATTACTTCTTGAAAATTGATCCTCCGATACACCGATATATTCAGCAGAAGGTGTGACACGATAAAGACCGACTTGTGTTGTGTGTCTAGGATTGAAAAAGGGGGAATATTTCGTCTATTTTAAGAACATTATATAGACAGATTTTTAGTATAGTTTAATTGTCACTTGCAGCAATCTGATCTCATTAAATACTTCCTTACAGACAGCTCTTACTTCCTTACTGACAGCTCTTATTTACTTGCTGACGGCTCTTACTTACTTCCTGACGGCTCTTACTTACTTCCTGACAGCTCTTACTTCCTGACAGCTCTTACTTCCTGACAGCTCTTATTTCTTGACAGCTCTTACTTTCTAACTGACAGCTCTTGCGTGTAAACTGCTCCTGTAACCCCCTTCCCCCGGGCCTGTTGTCTTTATGGCCTCACCACTACACCCACGACTTGTGCATTCTAAGCATTCGTCATTGGGATCCCTGGTGCTTAGTTCTTGACCATTGCGGCCTTTATTTTCTCTTCACTCACTCACTCACTCCATTCTCTCACCTCACCTTCCTCACGTTCATTCTATCTCTCACCCACCTATTTATTCTCGGTCTATCTACTTCCTCATTCTCTCTTACCACCCAGTAGTCCCTCTCCTTCCCCACTCACCCACCTCCACTCCCCCCCACTCCCCACGCAGCAGGGCACAAGTCTTCGGGCAACACCTTGAAAGATTTCTAACTTTAGGTCGAAGATTTAGCAAGGCTTTGATGGTGGTATCAACCGCCGGACGCCCCTCAATGTAATGTCTTCAAATGTTTCTTGCCTTTGGGTTTTATCGTGTGGATGTCGTGGTGTGGATGTCGTGGTGTGGATGTTGGGTGTGTGGATGTTATTCATATACCGCGGAAACGTTTGTAAGTTCACGAGGTTACTGTCAGAAGCAGGTAGATAGAGGAAGATAAAAATTATTAAAGGCTAATTATCTTTTTTTCTTTCTCTCTTATTCCCCTCCTTTCTTATTCCTATGTCTTCTCTCCTTCCCTCGTGTTTTACCACTTCTTCTTTGTCTCTATTGACTCTCCCCATCTCCTTAATTTACTGTCTTCTCCCTTTTCCTTATATTCTCAGTTTTCTCTCTTCATTTCCTGTTGTATTTCTTTTATTCTCTTATCTTCTCATCTTCCCCTACTCTGTGTTTCATGTTTATTTCTTAATCTCATTCCTGTCTGTCTCTCTTGTTCTCTTTCATCACTTTATTTTTCTCTCTCCTCACCTCATATTTATCATTAATGTCTCCATAATTCTCCCTTCAGCTGCCTCTCACTCGTTATTCCTCACTTTATTGTTTTTCTTTCTCTATTTATCCTCACGTACTTTATCTCCCCACCTCTCTCTCTCCCTCCCTCCCTCCCTCCCTCCCAGTAAGATTCACACCTCTCCCACACCTCTCCTAGTAAGACTCTCACTCTCCCCTCCTACCTACCTGGTCAATGCACCCAACACTTTTACCTGGACAATATTAATTAACACCATCGTTCAGGTGTTTGGTGGAATCTGTCACGCGAATATCTATTATAATTATCCTCCCCTTTAAATGAGAACGCCAGTGTAGGCAGAAGGCGAACGAAAGATCGTCTGTGGTGTAAATTTTCATAAACGAGTCAACATTGTGGGGCGTGGAAGATCGCCAGACGCAGCTGATTGCTCATGCTGACGTCGATTTTCTTCTTCTTTATAGTACGGGAGTTAGGCTTGTGTTTACGGCCTGCTAGTGACGAGGGAAGACTGGCGGTGATGTAGAGGTGGTGAAGCCTGGAGGGGAGGAAGGAGGGAGGAAGGAAGGAGGGGAGGGGAGGAGAGGAGGGAGGAGGGAGGGAGGGAGGGAGGGAGGGAGGGAGGGAGGGAGGGAGGGAGGGAGGGAGGGAGGAGGGAGGAGAGGAGGAAAGGGGGAGGAGAGGAGGAAAGGAGAGGGAGGAGGAGGAGAAGGAAGAATAGGAGGAGGAAGGAAGGATAGAAAGAGGAGGACGAAGTATAGGGAAAGGAGGAAGGAACGACAAGGAGGATCGACAGAAGAAGGAGGTGCAGCAGGAGGAAGAGGAAGAAGGAATCATTCTGTCTATCTGTCTGTCTGTCTCACATACAGTATACTGACGTGTTCCCTCCTCTCCTCTCAGGCTACAGATCTTCCCGGACGTGTCACGGTCTGGGTGTCACGAGACGGAGAAGCTACACAAGAGGATCATGCACCTGGACGCCGTGCAGAGTGGCATGTTTACCGTGGAGTGCGACTCTTACTACACCACGGCCCAGACAGGTGAGTTACCCCTCTCTCACTTGGTCCTTCCCTTCCTCCCTTATTCTCCATCTCTCCCTCCCTTCATTCCTTTCTCCCTCCATTCCTCTCACCCTCCCTTCATTCCTTTCTTCCTCCATTCCTCTCACCCTCCCTCCTTCTCCCTCTCCTTCGCTTCCTTTCATACTCTTATCTCATTCCCTTCCTCCTTTCATGTTATGTTTTATCTCCTTCCTTTTTTCCTTCTTGTCCTCTCTACCTCCCCCTCTCATGTTCTCTCTCGACCTCTCTCTACCTCTCTTGACCTCTCTCTACCTCTCTCGACCTCTCTCTACCCCTCTCGACCTCTCTCGACCTCTCTTGACCTCTCTTGACCTCCCATCTCTCACCATGAAGGGGGTCCAATACATCAATAGGACTCTCGCTTCACTCAAGGAATTAATTATGCCTAAAAGAGATATTAAGTATAATTAATTTAATATACCCAGAGTTGCTTTGTGTTTACATCCAGAAGGTCAAAGGTTAAGGTCAAATCTTTAAAAATTGGACCAGTCGATGTCGATTTGTAACTCCCAACAGTGGAAAAATAGTTTATCTATCGCGCTGCACTCGAGGGAGGTGACATAACACGACCTAACCCACGACCTTTGACCTTTTTGACCTGAAATACCCTACAGTAACATAGGTCATCACGTTGAAAGTCTCTCCATTGACCCTGACGAGCTAAGGAAATAACGTCTCTGGTGACCTGAACACTCATCTCTGGTCCGGACCTGTCACTCAAGAGACTGGTGACCGGGGGGGGGGTGTGTGTTTGTGTTCAGCTCAATTCTCAGTTCGTGGAAGTGTGAACTTTATATATGAGTTTTTCCCCGAGATGTTTATTCCACTCGGCGCTCACACCTCTTCCTCTTCCCCCTCCTTCAGGTGTCCAATATATGCGTGCGTGTGTGTGTGTGTGTGTGAGATGGAGAGTTACATAAAGTTCGTCTGTGTGTGTGTGTGTGTGTGTTAGATTTATAGTGGTTGAGGTTGTTTGTGCAATTTGGTACTGAATTGTTTGGTAAGTGAATTAATGGGTGGGTGGGTGGGTGATCACACAGACCACCCAATAGGGAGCTCCCGGACCAGCTGGGTGGGTGGGTGGGCGGTGATCACACAGACCACCCACTAGGGAGCTCCCGGACCAGCTGGGTGGGTGGGTGGTGATCATCACACAGACCACCCACTAGGGAGCCGCCCGGGCCAGCTGGGTGGGTGGAGTGGAGTGGTGATCATCACACACAGACCACCCACTGAGAACCACTTGGGCCAACTGGGTGGGTGGGTGGGTGGTGATCATCACACACAGACCACCCACTGGGGAGCTACACCCGGGCCAGCTGAATGGTGGAGTGCTGGGTGGGTCAGGTAGTGATCATCACACAGACCACCCACTAGGAGGCCGCCCGGGCCAGCTGGGTGGGTGGGTGGGTGGGTGGGTGGTGATCAGACCACCCACTGGGGAGCCGCCCGGGCCAGCTGGGTGGGTGGGTGAGCCGGTGATCACACAGACCACCACCACTGAGGCCACCCAGGCCAGCTGGGTGGGTGGGTGGAGTGGAGGCGGTGATCATCACACAGACCACCCACTAGGGAGCCGCCCGGGCCAGCTGGGTGGGTGGGTGGAGTGGGTGGGTGGTGATCATCACACAGACCACCACCCACTAGGGAGCCACCAGGCCAGCTGGGGTGGGTGGGTGGGCAGTGATCACACAGACCACCCACTGAGGGGCCGCCGGGCCAGCTGGGTGGGTGGGTGGGTGATCACACAGACCACCCAATAGGGAGCTCCCGGACCAGCTGGGTGGGTGGGTGGGCGGTGATCACACAGACCACCCACTAGGGAGCTCCCGGACCAGCTGGGTGGGTGGGTGGTGATCATCACACAGACCACCCACTAGGGAGCCGCCCGGGCCAGCTGGGTGGTGTATTGATTGTCTCCATAATACGCGGGATGAGCTGTGTGCCGCTATCCAGGCCCAGGGTTTAGGCCACCGTCACCCTGGTCTGTGCTGGCCCACCTCACACACACACACTTACACACGTACACACATACACACACGCACAAACAATCATACCAAATCTAACTTTAGCCAACCATATCGAGGCCCTAATCTAACCAAACGAATCCGTAAACTAAACTAACCTAACCTAACCTAACCAGGCTATCAGCTTTACCTAAAAAATCCGAGATATCAGATTCAGATCCTTATACAGAGATCAGTTTGTCGATCTCTTCCCCACTAAACACATTTCTGTCCGATTTTCCTTCACTTCCTGTTTACAAGTGAAGGTTATGGAAGAATATTTAACTACTCGACTTAACATACGATATATTGATGGTTGGTAATGCCACACAGAATAGTTGTTGATGTCTGGTTTTTTTATAGTTAACGAGAGGAAAAAAAAGTTTGGGTGTTCTTGGTTGAGATGGTGGTGGTGATGGGAAGTTGGTGTAGTGGGGATGTTGGTGGTGGGGATGTTGGTGGTGGGGATGTTGGTGGTGAGTATGTTGGTGAGTATGAGGATGTTGGTGGGGGGATGTTGGTGGTGGTAGTGATGGTGGTAGTGACGTTGGTGGTAGTGGTAGTGATGGTGGTGGTAGTGATGGTGGTGGTAGTGGTGGTGGTAGTGATGGTGGTGGTAGTGATGGTGGTGGTAGTGGTAGTGGTGGTAGTGATGGTGAGGGTTTGAGTCAATGGATGAGAAGGAAGGCTTGTGAGCGACTTGGCGTATGTAGGTCACAACTGCAGGTCAGGTTCAGGAGGAAACTAGGTCAGGGTAAAGAGAGAGAGGAAGAGGAAGAAGGCGAGGAGGAGGAGGAGGTTAGAAGTAGCTGTGTATATATGTGTTGTCTCTCAGAGTGCCTCCTCCTTCCTCTTGGGTCACCGCCTTCCTTGTCACTCCAACCAACCTCTTAGCCTTTGTCCTGTGTAGGTTAGGTTAGGTTAGGTTAGGTTAGGTTAGGTTAGGTTAGAGAGTCAAGGTGGTAGTTAATATTCAGGTGATCCAAGTACTGTCACCTCGGATTGAATGAACGTAACGACAGATTCTCATATTGGAATTCCGACGCTATTAAGATCTCCATTGATCATATCGTAAGTTAAGTGAGCTAGATAAATCCTTCCTCAACCAGCTAAGAGAAATAGTGACTAACTACCCATTGACAATCCGGTATCATAATCATTTATCAGTCGCAGCGATGACTGATAAAAGCGTTATGGATTTTTTTATTATTATTATCGTCTAAATTCACAATTAGTCTGTACAGTATGTTAATTTTACACCTTTTTAACTTGAAGTAAGATAACGTAAAGGTAATGTTAAGTCTAAGGTGTATTTTTGGGTGTTATTTTGGACTTGATTATCTTGTTTTAACTTTAGATGGTACAGTTAGATAGGTCCTCACGTCACCGGTAATGAGAGGGTCGACTTGGGAACCTCGGAGATTTTTGTCCCTCCTTCAGTCGAGTCCTTTCCTCTGTGTGACCTTTGACTCGACCAGTGGAGGTATAGGAAGGAAGGAAGGGGGGAGTAAGGGTAGAGACAAATGAAGGAGAGAGGGAAGGAAAGAAGGTGGGGAGGTAAGTGCAAGAGACAAATGAAGGGAGAGAGGGGAAAGGAGAAGGAAGGGGGGAGGTAGGGTAGAGACAAATGAAGGAGAGAGGGAAGGAAAGAAGGTGGGGGAGGTAGGGTAGAGACAAATGAGGGAGAGAGGGAAGGAAGGAAGAAGGTGGGGGATTTAGGGTAGAGACAGAGAAATGAAGGAGAGAGGGAAGGAAAGAAGGTGGGGGTAGGGTAGGGAGACAAATGAAGGGAGAGAGAGAGGAAGAGAAGGGGAGGGACGGAAAGGAAGGAAGGAAGGAAGGAAGGAAAGGAAGGAAGGCGTTTATCTGACCTCTGACTCGACCAGAATAGGTATGGGGAAGTAAAATTGAAGGAAAGAACAGATATATATATATATATATATATATATATATATATATATATATATATATATATATATATATATATATATATATATATATATATATATATATATATATATATAATAAGGTAGAAGCAAAGGAAGGAAGGAAGGAAAAGACGGAAAGAAGGGAAGGAGTCAATGATGGTTAATTGTAGTTAATTGGTTATGGTTATCGAGGAGGAGGGCCATTGTGGGTCTGTGAGGGCCATTGTGAGGCCATGATAGCTGGCCTCATGAAAATGCAAATTACCGTTATCTGGGGAGTGGGCATTTGCTCTCTGTTATCTGTGTGTGTTCACCGAGGACTCCGCTGTTACCCACTGCTGGTGACTGACGTGTAGGAAGGTGGATTGGTAGACGGGCAACACGTTTCAGACAGTGGCAGACAGGCAGGAGGGCAGTGGCAGACAGGAAGGATGACATGTTGGCAGAGAGGCAGGATGGCAGTGGTAGACAGGCAGGTTGGCAGACAGAAATGATGATAGATTAGCAGACAGGCAGGATAACAGGTTGGCAGACAGGCAGATAGAGTAACAGGCTAGGTGGCAAGTAGACAGAAAAGCAAGATACAATGGCAGGTAGATATAGGCTGACAGGCATACAGACAGACAGACAGACAACTAATAAGTCGATCAACCAATCATCAGCCTAAGACAAGACGGGATGATAAATGACCAGTCAAATGAGTGAGTGAATAATTGACGTAATGATTGAATGAATGAATGAGTGAAGGAGTAGGGAAGGAGGAGTATAGGAGGAAGAAGAATGGGGAAGGAGGAGGAGGAAGATAAAGAGGTTATAACATGTGAAGGAGGGAGGGGGGGGAGGTTGATGGATGATGGGTGACAAAGAGGTTACCAGGTCGTTTGTACCCGACACTTCCCTGTTATAATGAGCTTCTCTCAGCCAGCCTCCCTCCCTCCCTCCCTCCTTCCTTCCTTCATCTCTCCTTCCTTCCATCTTCTCTCCCTCCCTCTATACTCCTGTTCGCTACTCTCCCTCTCTCTAC